CACTGGTATTTCAATACCATCGGCGTATTCAATACCGTTTATTTTGTACGGTCCGATAATTGTTATTTTGTGGCCTTAATTCTTTTATTTTACAGTTTATGGTCTGATACATTTTATAGTGTATGATCTGATACATTTTATTGTGTATGGGATGATACCTTTTATTGTGTATGGCCAATCATTTTTTATTGTGTATGTTTTGATACCCTTTATTGTGTTTGATCTGGTACTGTGTATGCCATGGAAGTCTACAGTTGCACAAAGTTGTAGATTATAACCATAGCAACTCAAGATATTCAGCATCACAGAAGGAATACGTGTTACAATTGACGTAAATCCTGTTTATTACAATTTAAGTGACGCGTTCTGTTCGTTGTAGATGAGGGAAATCTTGTTTATTACATCTGACGAGATTCGCGTGTATTACACCTGTCGGAAAGGCGGAAATCGTGTTGTTTCCAGGCCCGTAACTAAGTGTGGGGGGGGGGGGGGCGTGAAAACATTGTCGACCATAAAAAATAGATATACATTGTCCGTGAATTTTACAGTTTTACAGCATCCCTGAGAACACTTCCCTCAGCTAGTTACAGCAACGCAATACTGTGACTTTTGTCTCTTCGGATCGACTAGACACTGTGTACCTTACCAGGTAGTCCGTTCTAGGAAACGAGACTGGAAAATCCACAGGAATTTACTCGGTCAGCTCCGGGATCGAATCCATGAACACCATGTAAGTGAACGAGAACCACAACCACTGAGTCATCGTGGCTTCCCCCTCACGTTCAGGTTCTTTGCAAGCTTCCATCTTTGTTAGTTTCTTTGCTGCGACAGAATTCATTAGTCCCTCACTACCAAGATGTTTCAAATCAAATTTGACGAAAACAAAAAAGGTCAAAAACTGTTGCAACCGTTGCTCTAACCTGATTTTCTTCAAATGGGGAGATAACTCCATCACTGAATATCGTGTTCACGAGGTTTTTTGGCCCCGGAACGACCTCTCGTGACTAGTGGCGGCGCCGTTCGCCGGTGGTTGGAGGGGCAAAGCTGGGCAAAGTCCAAGATTAAGGAGGCAAAGGCACGAGCTTCAACTAGGGGTAGGGGGCCTCCCCAGAATTATTTGAAAACAGGCTGCCGGAAATGCAGAATGGCAGTATTTCAGGCACTGATCGTTGAGATAAATAGAGCTTACCAGATACCGTCTGTCGCCAAATCACTAGTTTATCCGAACAGAGAGGGAGGTGTCGAATGAACGGAGTGAGTGTATCAAGTGAATGCATATTCTCGCCGCGTTGAGCTATACCCAAAAACTTTGAGGATCTTAAAAAGCACTTCTCAAGTGGTTCACGTAGACCCTATTGCCTTCAAAATCACCTTGTTGACGGACAGATGGATGGAAAGGATGGCGACATAATACGCACCTATTAAAATATGTGGGCATATACAGAAAGTAGTCCTATTAATATTTAAAACTGATAAGGACTTGTTCAGTGTTTCCTTTACAATCAACTATTTATGAAATCACCCGAGTTTGAAATTGATAATAAGGGATCCTAGCTACTGAAACTAGATTGACTAGATATCAGTCGTGTTTTACTTGTCTATTTTAATAGTATAGTACCAAATCAAAATGTTCAGGTGAAATGGGGTTTAACGTCCTAGTGTTTAGTACCAAATCACAATTTTCAGGAGGAATGGGGTTTAACGTCCTACTGTTTTGTACCAAATCACAATTTTCAGGAGGAATGAGGTTTAACGTCATACTGTTTAGTACCAATTCAAAATTTGAATATCCATCCAATAATGGCTCAATTCCTTTCAGTAGGAATATGTTTAGTACCAAATCAAAATGTTCAGGTTGAATGGAATGAGGTTTAGCGTGTTACTTGCCCGCAATAAATCGGGCTAATGCAGGTGGGCATACGCCATGTAATGTGCTGTGAGTGACATTTTGTCCGGAGAGCGGCGCTACGACTCGCTCTTATATTGGATTCCAACCGCCAAGGGTTCATAACACAACGTGCACATGGAACCTCAATGTAAGTCCCATCCAAAGGACGAAACGCTCTTCTTTTGATGACAAACAGACCGAATTAGAAAGTTGGAGTACGATTAGGTTTATCGAGTGGATGACATAAAAGACCGAGAACAGAAGAAAAACGCACAATGCGATATCCAGGTAATCTCAACCTGTCATAATGCTGAATAAAACCATTATACACAAAACACATCAATATTACATCTATATAGATACATTTATATTATAAGCTTTAGGGTTTTTACTTTCGTAAATCCATTTTTCTTCCATTTAAATAGCGATAAATGTCTGTATTTTGTGGTTTATTAACAGAATATGCCATAAAAGCCGTCCAATATGGGAGATTAATTGTTGGGATTGAGAGACCTGTTCCATTAACAGATTAGAAGAATGACATTTCTATCAGGTGGTAAAAAGGCGCCAAATGTACATGTGAAATAAAAAACAAAACAAAAAACGGTCAACTACACAAACCAGTATTTAGAGATGGTTTCTTTGGTTGGTGATGATGATTACGGATAGGCTTGCAAACGTACTTGGCCATTTGATTCACAGCAACAGCTCTGGTGAGAAACACTGACACTTAAAGGGACAAGGTCAATAACCAAAGAATACATGTCGGCGATTTCCATTGAGACAACGCTACAGATTATTGATGGTGTACCGCTGCCTGTGCTGTGGTACCGACCGACAGATTATCAACGATGAATTCACCTGTAGGGTGGTACTGACCGACAAATTATCAATTATCGACTACTGTTTATTTAGCGACAAACCCGCAAGAAGGAATCAAATTAATATAAGCCCACTTGGCTTGTTTTTGCATCCTATTTTTTATGCCTTTATATTGTACAATATTTTCGAAATAAAATCAGATATTAATCTTGCACGTAATTGGTATCATTTCATATCATATAAATTACGAAATGTAGAGCCACATAAGGCATTTTTTAAAAATAATTTTTATAATTTGCCCATGGACCCGACGTTCTAACAATCACGACATGTACAACCATTCAGATGCCCTTAACAATAGTTAATTAATGACATTAAGTCTGAAGACTCTGTGGTTAACAATCTGGTTAAAAACTGATACACGATAGAACGCGGTCGTGTCCCTCAAATAATAGATCGTCTATCTGGATTCTACCGATATATAAATATTTACAGTTGTATTGAAAACGGAATAGCTCAGGATATAATGAAAAAACATGAAGTTATCCTATGAGATGACAATTTATAAACAAAATATAATTTTTCAAAGGCGAGGTGCAAAGTGGCTGAAATAGAACAAAATGAAACAGGGTTTAACGTCCTACTTTTCTGCATCGACTGGGCTAATGAAGACGGGCGTACGCGGTACAGTGCTTACGTAGCGTTTTCGTGTGCAAATGTGATTTCCACAATCTTCAATAAAAGGAAATCTTAAATGGCATTTAGTGATCGGAAACACATTAACAGAACACAGTTTTTATGGGATACAATCACTAGTTTTATTCTAAAAGCACGACGTTTCGACACATATCCTCTTATCGTTATCAAGCACAATGATAATGATAAGAGGATACTTGTCGAAACTTCGTGCTTTTAGAATAAAACTAGTGATTGTATCCAAAAAAACTGTGTTCTGTTCAATAGAAGGCTTGATCTCGCTTCAACCCCGTACATCTTATCAAGGCCTTCACATAATACCCTACATTTTTCAGCACTAATTTCGATTGGTTCCTGACCCACCCGGGGACCTCTCAGATTCTTCGATACAAAATTTTATTGCGAATATCAGGTCGCGCGCTTTCCAACTGAAATGTCTAGCTGTGATAATCGAGTTGCAAAGTCCAAGGTTCGTTCAATGTTAAGGTTGCTGGATCTTTTTGCTTTTCGGCTATGACCCACTTCACATCTTAGTCCAAACCTTTGTAATTTACTTTTTGTTCTTTCATTATGCTAGTAAGGTTGCTTTTATTTGGTTTTCAACGGTTGTCAACACGTATCTGCGGTAATGGGGGATAACTACCTAAAAGTTTGAGAATTTCAGACTGAGGAAGCAACGGCTAGGTATTGCAAAACTCGCAGCCTTTGTTTCAGAATCATGGATTTCCACACACGTTTGGATATCGTAACCAAAGGGCACCACTTGTGTATTGTGTCCCTTGGTTACAACTTCCAAACGTACGTGGAATTGCAATTTGTGGGGCATATTTCACACAAAAACGCTATGATGACAATTTGGTAGGCCATAATATCAAATATCGATATAAATTATTGTGATAAGAGTTGAAATAAAGGTGAAATAAAGATGGGTTTGGGTAGATTTGTGTAAATCGTGCTGTCCCTCTGATGAGACTTCCATGGTATGCCCTCTCTTTGCCCCCTCTGACGAGAGTTTCATGGTCTGTCCTCTCTTCGCCCGTCTGATGAGAGTTTCGTGATCTGTCCTCTCTTCGTCCCCTCTGATGAGAGTTCCATGGTTTGTCCTCTCTTTGAGCCCCTAGCTCTGACGAGAGTTCCATGGCCTGTCGTCTCTTCGCCCCCCCCTGATGAGGGTTTCATTTTATGTCGTCTCTTCGCCCCCTCTGATGAGAGTTCCGTGGTCTGTCTGACGTTATGTTTAGAATTATGGAAAAGAACAGAATTGGCTAATCAATGCTTTAAATAAATGCTGATACAGAATTGCGTATCAAAGACTATGTTTATGGTTACTCTACCCCCCCCCCCCCAAATAGGGTCGGAATTGTCTATTTTCTTCCATATGTAGCTTAATTTCTGAGATAAATGGGGTTTTAAACGTCCACTTGACACAAATTAGGTCATTTCGGGACCAACACATGGTTCAATTTTATTTCAATAATTCGCTTGCGCGTAGGGGTCTTTAGCAGCGGGAGGAAACCTGAGGACCCAGAGAAATCCCACGAGGTTGGAGAAATTATTTATAGAAATAAGTTTGCGAGAAACAAGGATGAGCATGTTGTAACATGTACACTACATGTTTATTTACATCAAAATATTCATTCAGAATGCAGAAATTAATAACAGAATAAACATACATCTTATCTAGAGTTAGTTACATGATGAATTAACATATGACCTAGTGCAGTGGTTCCTAACCTTTTGTTGGTGACTACACCATTCCGTAAACCATCATCAGGCCCCGAGTTCACAAAGCATTCTCAGACTTAAGTTAAGAATTTACTCAAACTTGTTCACCTTATTTTAACTAAAATATAGCCCTTTATAATAATTTTGTTGTTTGAATGTATCAGATACATTAATAATAAACTATGTGCAAAGTTTTGTGTTTCTGAATCAAAGATATTTCTCATAAACAGTGATTGAAAGTTGAGCAAATTCTCAACTTATGTCTGAGAATGGTTTGTGAACTTGGGGCCCGGTCACGACCCCTCACCTTATATTTTTACACCTTTATAAAACTTGAGGAAAGACGATTGGAAATGTGGCAAGAGGTGTATAGATCAGAGATTGATATGCTTTTCATGAAAATATAGCATTTTCTTTAAAAGTTTCAGTGTAGTCTGCCACCACCTCACGAAAGGTGCTATGGTGTAGCGACCCACAAGTTGGAAACCTAGGACCCAGTGTTATAAGTTGTCAATAAGAAGCTCAGCTTGAGAACTAAGCTACATGTAGTTGACCAAAATTTTGATTCCTAGAGGAATTTAGAGGAAAACACAGCTAAAGCATACTTGAAGAATTCTGTGAATTGTTTAATAAAATTGAAAAGGTTTATTAAGTCTTTGTGTGTATGACAGATATGAAACAGAGTAGAGCCACATTAGGAAATAGTACATGTATATTAATTTTGGGATATGCCGACCATTCAGAGCAGGGATCTATTCTGTAAGTAGATACATGTACGTCTCTGTATGCAGAATGTCAATTGAACACACAAATATAAAAGTTTATAAGCTCTGCATCCACAATTCGCAACCTTCTCACTGTTTTCATTCATGTTTTATTGCTAAAACAACACATTCAACTCAAAAGCAATTAAAACCTTTATACAAAGGCCTTTATGGTGATCAAAGACACTTCAACCACACTATTTTTAGTGTAATTACCGTATTCTTGATTGTAGCACCTTGAGATTGTCACCAATAATTCTTGGTGAAACATCATCTTACTAAATCGTAAGATTTCGTGGCACAATTCCTTAAACACTGTCTCTGAATCATCATCATCACCGCCTCCTCCATCACTAATAAAACAACAAGAACTTCATCTTAATCCAAGTCTTTTCTTCTCCTTCTCTTTCTTTCTCACTAATTCTATATTTCTATCTCTCCACGTACTTTTACGTAATTTAATTGGTCTGTTTCCTACATATTTACCTGAAAATAAACAAGCATTTAATTATTATCATGACTTCATATGCGAAAGACGGCATCAAATTTTCTAACCCAAGTCAGACAGATGTTGGCCTCCAATATCCCTCTCTGTAGCACAAGCAAACATGGGGGCTAGCTGGAGGTTTTAAAAAAGCACCTACTTGAAGAGGTAGCATACTTCCAAATTCCAACCAAATTGTTCAACAAGTCACCCGTCTATAAACATGTGACATTTATAAACATGTGACATTTATACACAAGTCACTCGTCTATAAACATGTGACATTTATAAACAAGTCACCCGTCTATAAATGAGATTTATTAACAGGCCAACCGTCTATAACCATGTGACATTTATAAACAGGCCAACTGTCTATAACCATGTGACATTTATAAACAAGCCACCAGTACAATAACTGTAACGCATGAACTTATGAAATGGGTACGTGACAAATTTCACGCGCCTAATGTCGGGGAAAAGATTATATTTTGATGACATATTCTCGGATTTATGATCATATTTTGAATGGGGTTTATGTTTTTAAATAAAGAAATAAGTACGCTAGGAAATGTTGACGAATATGTCGATAGGAATAGAGAGAGAGAGAGAGAAATGGGGTTTAACGTCCACTCGACACAAACTAGGTCATTTCGGGACTAACATATGGTTTAATTTTATTTACATAATTTTCTTTATTTCAATAATTCGCTTGCGTGTAGGGGTCTTTAGCAGTGGGAGGAAACCGGAGGACCCGGAGAAAACCCACGAGGTTGGACAGGCGACCCTACTCCTTGCCACGTACAACCGGGGATTCGAAACCACGCCAGTCGACTCAATGACAGACTTTATGGTACAGCGCGCGCACGCTAACCATTCAGCCATCCAACCCCCCCGATAGGAATAGTGTTAGTAGTTAATTGTTTTAGACGATAGCAGGTGCTAGAGTCGAATACGATTATTTGGCAGATGGTGTCACTCGCCCGTTGTGGTAGAGCGACGTTTACTGCCAAATAAATTTCGGGATGTCATTTTTTTTACCTTCCGAATATAAGTCGAAACGGAGTATAAGACGAATGCCAGACTTCATGTATCGACTTATGACCCGAAAAATACTCTAATTTTGGAGGAAATTGAAACAAGTATGGGTCAGCAGTAGGCGTCACGCTTTCATTCTATCGTATTACGACATCACGTAATTTTGTAGGAATATTACTGATATAAATTTGAATACCGTTCGGGAATCAAATATGAAAAATAACGAGGGGCACATATTTTTTTATTACGTACGAATTTGAATATTTTGTTGACACGTGATTTTTGTGTGTGGTCTAAAACTGCCTGCTTAAATAATTATAAAAGTTATGATCCTTTATTTTCGGTAAAAATGTCCGACAAGAAAAATTTTGAAATCCCATCACTGTTATAAACATGTGACATTTACAAAGCAAGTCACGGATCTATAAGCATGTCACATGTTCAAAACAAGTCACCCGTCTATAAACCCATGGTTGGGATTAGTAAAAGAACAAGAACCCAGTATTGTGAAACATTGACGCTGACATGCCATTAAAAATGAATGTCTTTCTCTATTTTAAACATTTTGAAAGACAACATGTCAAATAATTAACCCGGTTTTCTTTTGAAGTTGTTTTTATATTCTCTCTGTCTGTGACAAACCAGAATCTGAATGTATTTCAACATGTAATGAAAGAAAACAAATCTCCATAATAAAACAAATCTGGCGCCTGTTCAATGCTTAATGCAGATTTATATAAAAATAACAACAACCCTATGTTCCCTCGCTTCCAGACTTACACTATTGTTTGAAACAACATTGTGTAAGAGTGTCACATCATCAGTTACTGTCACCAAAAGAAACACAACAATGACTATAAACCAAGTATTGTTAAATTTGAGCAAAATAACGGATACATTATATTTTTTTTTTATCTCAGTTTTCAAAGTTATCGAATGGATGGATCCATAATAAACTATTCAGAATCGGATAATGACTAATGTCGATCATTAAAGAAATTCAATAATAGTGCAGGCTTTCAGGAACCTTTTATCATTTATTGTTAGTTATTAAAATCGACTGGAGACAGAGAGTTTCGTTAAAGATATATTTCAATTTCTCTTTCTTATGAAATATTGATTTCCATCAAAAGATGGGGCCAACATGGGAGTATTTCTTTAACTCCTCCACAGTTTCATACCCAGTCACAGATATCAATCATAGGGGATACAGACAAAAGGTTACTCGGGCTAAATCTATTTGTTAAGGCCAGCTCAATTTTTGTCAAGGTTGTTGAGATGTAAATAAGTTTAGGGCATGTGATTGTTGACAAGATTGTAGTTTAGGGTTTGGGTAACCATTGGGGCTAGGTTCAGGGTTAGGGTTAGGTTGGGATTAGCACTAGCCCTGTTTACATCTTGTGACCGGTTACCAGGCAATGGACTGAAAATTAATTTCCCCTTATTTCCTAGCTATGTGTTCATGACAAATTGTCAAAATTTTAATCTTGTTATCAAGAATAATAATTTATATATATTTTTTTTTTAACGCGGATACAGACAAAAGGTTACTAGGCAATGGAGTGACAAATATGTCACCCTAGCTCCCAAGTGTTTCCACCAATGACAAATTGCCAAATTTCAATTGTTTTTATCAAGAACAATAATTTATAAAATTTTATTGTCACTGCTTTATCTCCACACTCTGCTGGTTTATATAAATCACCGTGGATACAGACAAAAGGTTACCAGGCATTAGATGTAAAATATGTCACCCTAGCTCCCCAGTGTTCCTACTTCCTACCAATATGACAAATTGTCAAAATTTTCAATCTTGTTATGAAAAACAATAATTTATAAAATTTTATTGAACGAAGAATTCTGCTGGTTTATAGAAATCCTTCACGTTGCACTAGGTAAATTATTGATAGTTTTTTCTTAACAAATTACTACAGCCCCAGAGAGAGAGAGAGAGAGAGAGAAAGAGAGGGAGAGAGAGAGATGGGTTTAACGTCCACTCGACACAAAATAGTTCAATTTTACATCAATAATTTGCTTGTGTGTAGGAGTCTTTTAAGTTGAAGGAAACCTGACGACCCAGAGAAAACCCATGACTATATTCCACTTGACTCATTGACAGACCTTATGATCTAAAACGTACACTGTACATGTTAAACCATTTGGCCATTCAACACCCCAAATGAAATTTGTATAGGTGTCATCACATATAGATCTTGTCCCAAGTTGTCTTGCTATTTACCAGTCATATTCGGAACATCTCAAATTGACAGAATTGCATTCATGTACATTGTGTCAGTCCTAAAAGCAGAGAGGTGATGTGAGAAGAATCATGAAGTATAACAAGCGGTTGTTATGCAAGATATGCCCATATTTTGCAAGAGATGGACAGAAAACAAGCTTAAAAAAAAAAGTAATTTTTCGTACAATCAGGGGTTATAATGTGGGAATTTATGGTCCGATATGCACGAATATCAAGAGGAATCGAAATCTCTCGGATATAAACATATATTTCAAATTTCATCAAAATCAGATAAAAATTCTGGCCTTTGGAGGGTCCTCAACCTTGGTATTACATACTTTTACACTATTTGCATACAATGAGCGTCTGATATTAAATTGGATAATAATTGTGACCTCTTCGGGTATCACAAACTAAAAACAGAAAGTTGCGGTCCAATATGCGCAAATTGCGAAAGGAACCAATATCATTGGGTCATAAACAAACATTTCACGTTTCATCTAAATTGGATAAAAATTGTGACTTCTAGAGTGTCCACAAGATTTTCGTATAATCAAGGGCCATATCTATGAAATTTTGCTCCGATACATGCCAATATCGAAAGGAACCGAGATGTTTCAAGTTTCGTTAAAATCAGATAAGAATTGTGACCTGCAGAGTATTCACAAATTGTGAATACGTCCACATTTATGTTTCAACTATCATGATTGGTTGAGATATTTTCTCCCTTTTAACTCAATTATAACTACATTTTGGATTGAGAGATCACAATTCTGGAAAGTACAATTGAGTATCCCTAGAGCATTTGTCAAGGTCAGTAACTAAAATATTAAGTTAGTAATTGTACATGTACATCTGGGCCATTGACAGACTTTGATGTAATCACATATATAAAATATAAATAATATAAACTGCAATAATCAAGACCTCTGAGGGCTCACCAGAAATTGTGGATGACAGACAATGGACAGACGATATTTGAACATAGCTGATTAAAAGGATGAGTCTTATCTCCGCAGATTCATTTTGAAACATTTATCAATCCTACCTTTAGTTCATCGTCAATTTTTTTTACACCTGTGATGGAACGAAATCTGATATTGAATTCTTCCCAGGAAATAAAACATGTACATTATATGACAGGAAATGTAATGATATTATCACATGTAATAGATAACAAACCTCTGCGTAATAAACAGCTCAATAAAACATGTGAAAGGGATATCTTGAAATCAAAACTGGTAAAAGCCTGCCAGTAATGTTGACAGTTACTATTGGTAAAGTCCACGTACCACTGCACTAATTTGTCATGGTTGTGTTTATGGACTCAGAACTTGCAATTGATTGATGGTACTACGTTTTTTGGTGAAAATATCTATTTTATATCAAAAAGGAGTTTTACATAAAACACAGTAAATATTGACTTACATTATTTCAAAATAAACACACGTTCAAAACATTGCTACATTTACAAATAAATAGTGACATTGTGCACCAGACAGAGTGTCATCTGACACCACTTCTAAGTTCTCAGTACTTTTACATGTTGATCCCAATTAAAGTGGCATAATGTAAGATTTAGATAAATGGCTTACAGTAAATTCTCGCTATAATAGTTCAAAAATAGATAAGAAAAACAGAATATGCTGAAAATTTCAGTCAAATTGCTTCAATCCGAGCCTTGACAGTCATTGCTACTGTTGTTAAGATAATAAACAAAGTCTTGAT